ATACATGTTCCTACTTACACATGATTTTCTATTACAAGCAGATAATTAATCTAGCAAAGAAGGAGCTTATAAATTGATAGAGAGGTCGGATAGTTATTAAACATAAATGTACAAAGGTTACTTCATAAATAACAACAAGAAAGAAACTCATAATGAAACCTATTCTTCAAAACACGTGTAAAAAGCTAGTATATAACAGTATATAGTAATTAAACCTGTGTTTCGTCAGACAAAACAAAATTTTGGACAAAGATTGAAATCCAGCATAGATTTCAGTAAAGAACAAAAGACTAAACAGTTTGGGACATCGATTTCAAGGTCACTGTTCCTTGAAAAGTAACTAACCCTAACTATTTTGTATCGTCAATTATCTAACAGCACATAAACTGTAGCGCGATACAAATTTATGAATCCTAACGACAGTTAGGAGACCAGGCGTTGAGTTTTTGTATTAAGCCAAAGAAGGGTGAATGGGGTTTCATTCCAATTCAGTGTTATACCTTTCTCTTGAGTATCAAACAGCATTGAATATTAGGTCTAAGATCTGATTCTGATTACTTCTGTCTTTAGAATTCAGACGAAGTGGAGTGTGTTGTGTAGCCATTTTGACAAGTAGCTATATTAGTGTAAGAACGTCAAAATTTGGTTAATGGCTAAGTCCCAAACCACATGACATTGGTTACTACTTTGCAAATCACCTAATTAACTCTTGATGAATGAGTAAAATTTATTGAATGCTTATCCACATAAGTCACACTTCAGTAATTACTACCCTGCAAACCTGAGCAATAGAAGTTACACATTAAAAAGAACAAGGTAATTAAACACTAATTACTATTCAGTGACAGGCTGCCAATTTTTTTTCATCGTTTTGTGCTAACTTGGCTCAGTGGTAGGGATTTATCTTGCTTATTGTAGGACCTAAAGGTTCTAGATTAGGATAAAACAGCTTCCCATTATTCCCTGGTTTTACAGCGATAATTCAATCGCCACACGTCTATGATAAAAATCAGCTTCAAGATCCTCAGTTAACATGTGACAAGTAAAAGAAATATGATATCTTCAAATAGAGATCCCAGTATTTCGATATCATTGAACAAAATATTATTATAACTTATCCGACCACTTTGATATATGGATGTATGATAATCACTTAGTATTTAATCACATGAAAATTATTCAGATTAAGAAAAATAAAATTTATTATAACAGTAGATTTTGTAACTTAGTTATTAGAATCAATGACCTGAAATGTTCAGAGATGAATTTTAACAAATTCAAATAGCGGACAATTTCAATACTAAACATGAATAATAGTCACAACAGTGATAGTAATTACAAAAACGATTAAGTGCCACTAAGTACACAATTCACAAATATTTTTCATAACTAATCAAGGCACGCATTCAAAATCATTGGACTATCCACATAACCATTGATAATTTTTTGAACAAAAGGTGGTCATAATAACTAGAGAATTTATACGATAATGATACGTAATTTGAGCCAGTAGATGATCGGTCCAATTATCAGTTAAAGCAACAAGGCTGTTGTTTACGAAATTAAGAGGACGTAAAGCGGATGTCCGGTTGATGGATATGGAGGAGCCACCAAGGAGAGTTAGAAAACCCTGATTCCAAACCAATGGTGACCATGGGCTCCAGGATCCTGAAGGAACGAATGGCGTGTGAACCAATTATTGGTCATCAGCTACCATGGGACTGCATCTCTTAACGTTGCTCCATTGTCTTTTTGATCAGACCTTTAGGTCGAAGGTTCCGAATGTACCCGCTTAAGAAAACCACCTGTTTCGAACTGGGCACCACGACAGTATCACAGCCCACACACAAATCAAGTGACCTGTGTGGTGCATATGTACTCAGTGACACATTGTAATAATATTTGTGTTCAAACAAATATAAATAAATAAAAAGGCTGGTACAAATATACCCAAACGACAAACTCCAACTCAAGTGAAATGCACTCTATTTGTATTCCACTGCAAGCTACCAAAAAGGTCTATTTTCTCAACAAAGTTCCTGAATCTAAACTTGTCATCTATGACAACTAGAATTCAAGTATTAATGAGGCGAACTACCAAAAAGGTGTCCACCATAGGAACGTCTTCCTTACACTTATCAATAACGTATTAAGTCATGGATGAGCACTAATGACAAGTCGCAAACTAGGACAAAAAAGAGATAAACAATTATTCCTATTTCCTAATGGTTTTTCCTATGAATAATAACTCAGTGATTAGTGGCGGATGGTTTCTGCATGATGAACTGATCTGCACGAAACACATTCAACCGTACTGTAACCATGCTCATTAGTGAACTACGTAAGGATGGATTCCTGAAGTTCTAATGAAACATGTTGACAGATGGAGGCTAGATATGTCTATAGTGAAAGCCATCACTAGCGGCATTCGATGACTGTCATGTTAAACCACGAATCGATTGAAGTTATAAATGCGCACCACTTGGTAGCAACATAGTGGTTTAAAGGTCAGTTGGCAACCCCAAGACCTGAAGGTCATGGATTCAACTTTTGGGGTACCCATAGGTGAGCACTGCTGAGGTGTTACATAATAGTCTGAAAAGTGTCTAGAATTCACTTGCTTTCAGCGGTAACCCAACCAAGGTCCGACGGTGAGAAATCCCACCTGAGAACTAAACCAATCCACAAAAAATCAATTCATTCATCTTTAAGTGAAGAATTGCTATAAAACGTATATCTTACTTGAAGTAAAAGGAAAACCGGTAGGAAGAAATTGATAGGACTTACATACCATCTACCTTTACGAGGTATTTTATCTTAGATTAGTCCACAAATTATCTGGGATAACCGAGTGGCAAAGATTTAATCTACATCAAAATTCCTCCACACAATCATGCGTTAATTGTTTCTCTTAATGAATGGAGCATTATTGCAAGAGTCAAAGACGCACTGTCCCGATTTAGATATTTAACATAATCTTTCCAATTCATGAGTAAGCAGGAAACATATTCCCGTTTGAGAATAAGGAAACTTTATTAAGCAAACAGCTAATGTTTTAACTATTAATTGGTAGGTTATAAAGTGACCATATGAACCAATGAGTTCAGTCTTACGAACTTTAATCACTACAAGTGTTTTAATAACGACCTCACTCCAACTATAAAATGTACTTAACTTTTCTAAACAATTGATGTTGTTGGAAATCGATGGAGAACTAGGGAGATAAGCAAGAAAAATATCTATAAATTAAACTAATATTACTGTTTATAAACTAAATATCTCTAGTGAATTATGTGTACGTTTTTAGCTGAAACTAGGACAATAATCTTAGATATTTAAAATATTTGGGTATTATCGTAGCTGTAAGTAAACAAGCCTTTATGGATACAAGTTATGCATTTAAAATAATAATAAACCATTTTATCGGTGTTCACTTTCTTCGCTATTTATCTATTCTAGGACGAGACGTTCTATTTACTCAATATAGAAGATTATACAGAATCACTGATCTTAATACGCTTTGTGTTTGTAGCTACTCTTTAAGCTCAATCAATATCGCGTCTGAAATAATTGGTAAGTATGTTTCATTGTACACGGTAAACAGAAGGGTTCGAAACTAACTGCCAATAGCTTTCCATCTTATAAGGACGTTAGAAGTTGCGTTCGAATGCACGAAAGGAGGATGAACCTGATTTTTTCATATCACATCCTCTAGTCTACCCCAAAACTGAAAGATTTCAGGAGTTAAAATTTGTTACAACATATGACAACCCACGATGTACTTCTTTTCTTATCCATATCCAACATTGAAAGTTTCGATTTCCTTTCAATTAATTCTGCTATCACAAAGGACCAAACCTAAACTACAAAACGATTTAATGGATTTTTTATCAATTAGATTTTGCTCATCGCAGTTCTTACTAGTGGTAGAAATCAAACATAACTTATCTAGCAAATTAATAAATGAAAGAGTGAAAACGAAAAAAAACCATTTCAGAAATCATAACACCATCATACATGTCTAAATCAACCCTAAAATACACAATAACGCAATGGTCTACGTTTACTACTTTACGACGGTAAAAACAGGTAAGTCAACCATAGGAAAGTGTTATAATGAGAATAAAAGTACCGGTAAACAAAAGAAAAATGATGGAATAAAAGTATTTAATACTTATGGAGAGATAATGAATTCATCTTCCTCTCTTCAACCTAAGGTAGATTATCTGACAAAATCGCATTTGGAAACAACATTCGCACAGTATCTTCACTCGGAATAGTTTACCAAAAGAAAACGTTTTGGCCAAATTGCACACGACACTAACTATAATATTGTTAATAAATGACCTAAGGAAGCAAAACTATTCTGTGATTACCTGATGTATTTATTGTGAACAACAAAACTAATAATATAGTCACTTAATAACAGGAATCTAAAATGCTTATGAGTTCTCTACAAAATGTTAATAACCACTGAAATAGAGACATTAAATTCATTGCTGGGTTCTTGGACATTTGAGATACGTTCGTGAAAACTTATGAAGTACTGTTACACTTCAACACTTCTGGTGATTTGTTTGAGTGTCTCTCCCAAACGTCAATATATTTTATGCAAATAGTCATACATAAATTCTTTAATTGTTAGCTCTAACATGACTGAAAAGATGTGAACAGTAATGTTTTAGCTCTATATCAGCCTAATAAAATTTACTACAATTATTTCCATACAACTAATCTTATAAAACGACAAATCACAATAATTTGAAACTCGATATCAGTTGCTAAACTTTGAAACTAAAGAATGAAGGAACTAAACGCAATTGGTTTTTACATTCCCCAAGATATTGTAGCGAGTGAAAAAAAGATAAAGGTGAACTTAATATATAGAAAACAGGGTACCAGAGTAAAGTAGTTGTATAGCACATACAAAGTCATGCTTAAGAATAGTGTGCACTAAAATAAATGCATCGATCAGCAACTGATATTATTAAGCAACTTACCTCAATTCTGGATGCTTTTTGTTTACTACTATTATTTATCCCAAACATCTCAAAGAGGTACTGTTCATACCTATGAAACAAATTACGAAAGTGCAACAGCTATTTTATCTCAAAATAACATTTGACGTAGCAAAATTTGTCAGATAACCAAATAAAAGAAATACTTTCAAGCAAAACATTGGTTAGCAAACACCTAAATTTAAAACATTTTCATATGGATTCAAATGTCTATATATCAATGTGATTTAAAATAATGATAGATATTTTTTAATTTTCCCAAGTTGCAACCTCACTCTAAAATCACGATCATTACCATCCTCGTGAATACGAAAGTAGAAGAAAAGCTTTTTGTAGGCACCCTATTTTGACGCTAAAACTAACTACTAATAAATAAAAGCTTGCTTACATAACCAATGACGCCTCAAAATATTCAGAGTTGTCATTAGTATATCATTTGATAAAAGGGCCTCCATAGCAACAGTTCGTGATATATCAATTAGTGAATAACAAACCATACATGTCCAGTTTTCACACGTTTATGACAAGTATAGTGTCATATAAATTTGGATTGCAAGACAAACTGTCTAAAAAACCTCAAGTAACATAATAATGGTAAAAGACTTGAGATAACGTCAAACAATATAAGGTATATACCATAACTCGACATATCATAGCTGAGAAATCAAACAAAGAAAGCATACAAAAAACCACCAATAAACATACTTTCTTCGAAATGCATTCATTCCATATCCCAAATAACTTTTAATGTAGAGTTTGTATCGTTGATTTGTAGAAAACCAATTTCTCGTTAAGGAAAATTCCGATAATAAGCTGCTTGGTAGATTATCTGTCGATTGTACTTCATAAGCTATTTGCATACTTGCTCCACCCATGTCAAGCATCCCATTAGTAGGTTGTTTAACAGGCCCTGTGGACAAAACCAGAATTTATAATTTTCAGAGTAGTTAAAAGTATCCTTTCACTTCCTGATAATGACAAATATCAGATAAAAGGTAATAATTATTAATGGAAGGAAGGTTGAATTTGCATAGCTTTATTGACTATAAACTAACAGAATATTCACTGGTTAGAAGTAAGTAGTCGAACTGCGTTATTTTCACCAAGGTTTATCCCAAAGTAGAAACGACTTAAGTAACATTTTAAGCATTTTTTAACACAATATATTGTAACTCGTCAAATCTGAGATCAGAACACAGTCCTTACCATTATCCCCAGGAAGTAAACGAAACTTTCCAAGTAGGTAATTTACAGAAATCCAACCAAACAAACCTTCTTCTACACCAGATATTGTGTAAGCATGAGATTCTTTAAACTGGAATTTATAAGTGGATTTCACATGACTTCGAACACGCTTCCAAATTGCATCTTGATCCCTGTCAGTACAAGATATAATGATTAATTAAATCAATGCATACGTCTGTGTAAGAAGCCTCATTCCCGCTGTAGCCATAATAAATAATGGGGTGCTAGGTTGGCTACTCGGAGGGATATGTGACTCAGCATCACTCAGCAAAGCGGATATATATTCAGGAATGTCAGATAACTTGTTGGCAAAGCTTGAAAGACCGGGAGTTTTCTTCTTTATCACAGGATTTCCCAATACATCCTTTAAAATTTCTACATCTTCTAAACCACTCAAGGACTCTGCTTTCGTTTGCCATGTGTATACGAACATTCTTGAACCACTGCTGCCTGAAAGAATTCAAGATTTTACTTTCCACTTACCAGCATCAACAATGATAATATAATTCTGACCAACTGGTGCTGCCTCAAATGTATGCATCTCGAGCAGAATAAATACTACGGTTATGATGTTTAAATATGTGGATAATGTATGCCAGCTCATAATTTAGTCAAAACCGGCAAAACAATGAAATTTCTTGATATATATACAATTCCTAGATGTAACACCAGAACCATATTTCTGCTCAACCAATCACCATGCCGACAAGCGACTAATTGCATGACCCGGTAAACGTAACTGATCTAGTTTTTCGTTTCAACCATGAATTAACAAGATTAGGCGAATCAGCAAATTACGATTGACAATCTCGTGATTTTGTTTAATTTTTTTTCGAAATATATTTCCGATTATTCATAATATTTCTGCAGATGTTAATAAGGAATGAATGGATAATCTTTAATATTGGTCAAAATGTGTTGCTCAGCCTGTTCCTTCCAAGCAATCTGTACGTTTCCTAATGATTCCACAAAGCTGGTTAATCAATTTTCTGTCCTTTTGTATGTCGAAAATTTTAACGAGAATCCCATAAATATGTGTTGACGCTGTACGGCAACTAGTTAATTCTAATGTTACTTTCATAGCCCGTGAAATTTGTCATTCTACCACCACTTCGCTTAGTACGTTGTGTCTAGAAGTTTCACTGGTGACCATGAGGACTACCTCAGCTTGTCCGAGACCTGATACGAAAAATAATTTGTCTTCGAAATGTAGGCTCTGTTTGGCGAAATAAAGTATTGTCATTAACGTGATTATATGCTGAGAACTACTACTATCGTCGCCAATTCACTTTTAAGCCAGCCATATAATGAAGTAATTTGAGATATTCAATCGTCACATAAATTGTTTAAGGTTATGCAAGAAAATGGCAGTTACATTACAGGCTACCTTTTATAAATTTTCAGCATCTGGCATAGTCTCTGACTATCTTCATATTTCACCCCGCTAAAGAAAACAGACCAGGTTTAGCTCTTTGATGAGAGACGAAGTGACAAAGATGTGCTATTCAGATTTACTTAAGTTGTTAGAAGACAGTTAACCAGTCCATAAGTAGGCCTACGTAGATAGTACAATCTATCTCAAATCTTGACAAAATCCTTTTTTCCGAAGAGTTATACACAATGTAGTCAGCAGAATAAAAAAACTGCCATGTTTTTAATGTTGTAGCGGGAAATAAATCTTTAATACAAATAGCTCTGTAGGTCTTTGGCTTTGGATGCTGACCATTATAGTTTTAATGAACTCACCTAGCTGAAGGCAAAATTCCTCGCAGTAGCCAAGGCACAAATGCGCGAATTCAATAGGTACGTAATAACTAATATGTTTACAATTGATGTTTCGAAACCTTACAAAACACTGAAACGATCTACTCTTAAACGCGGAGATCTAACCGGTCGACAATGGTTAGGCCAACTCCTTAGTAATATCGACCTGCAACACGGTTCTGTGAAAGACATGTTGCAAAGAATGAGAGAGGTTATCGGCCAAAAAACTTTTGATGATGGCTTATTCAGACAGCTTTTGTTACCTAAGCCTCCTCAACAGGTGCAAGCTGTGCTGGTCTGGTTTCAACAAAACGCTGTAGACGAGCTCGGCGCATCGGCCGACCGCATCTTAGAATCACGAAGTCTAATGCCAAGATTTTTCAGTCAAAGAAAAACCTCAAGCAATCCAGAACGACATTACAGAATTGTGTCATAAAGTTACACAATATCATAAATTTCGCAACGACCATAAACAGCCACAAAACCCACGAAGAAGCATTTCACGTAAGCGATCTGTCTCTAGACCACGAGAGGCGGATAACCCTGACTGGTGCTGGGTTCATAACCTGTGTGGAAAGTCTTCCAGAAATTGAGGTAAACCTTGCAATTTTCTTAACTCAAAACCGATCGACTCGAAAAACAACTCAGAAAACTTCTAAGCCGGCACGCGTTAACGGCAACCGTAGCCGGCGAACATAGCCGTCTGTTATACGTCACAGAGGTGACAACGAGAGTTCGCTACCTCGTAGATACTGACGCAGACGTTAGCGTTCTCCCAGCGAATTCTAACGGCTGGCTTCACGAATCCGTTCCAAACTTACAGGCGGTAAACAGAAAGCCTATTGCTATGTATGGCAAAAGGTACGTTTACCTTAACGTGAGTTTACGCAAACCCATTCACTGGATCTTTGTTGTTGCAGATGTTTCTATGCCAATTATTGGTATAGACCTTCTACAACACCATAATCTAATCATCGATACGCGCAAACGGAGGCTAGTAAACGGAAACACTCATTTATCCGTTAGCGTAACTTCCTTCTCTGGTTGCAGAGTATCCCCAGTCACAATTAAGCATACGATAGACCCACCTTATCAACCACTACTCGATAAGTATCCTGGAGTACACCAAACTCAACCGAAATTCATTTGAATGCCGTTTTCGGTTGTCGTAGAAAACCCTCTGCACGAATACTTATAGCTGTATCAAGTTTTCTGACTTGGATAAACGAAGCATTCCGTAAGGAGGATTTTGAAAAAGTCAGATTAAACATCCAGTGGTTAAGAGAAATCAAGTCGGAATCCTGGGTAATGGTTATAAAAAACTTGCCTGTAGCTTTACAGTAGTATCGGTGTTTAACCACAGGATCGTTTCATAATACAATACATTCGTCAAAACTCAAATTATTTTTATAGAAAGTATGTTTTCAGAGTTTTCAATTTTTCGGGCTTAAAAGATAAGGATTTGGTAATAAATCCTTCATTTAGTTTTATAAAAAACTTATTGATGTGAAAAGTTAATCCTACATATTAACTTAGCTGATAAAAAGCCTTTACTCAATATCTTAAAAGTCAATGGGTAAAAATCACGAGTTGCTAAGCCTCGTTTATAAACATGTCCAGCGTCCTTGCCGCTTCACGGCTAATAAGGACAAAATTCACGTTTTGCCTGTGTTTCTATCTGCAGTTTTTGTTGTAGCCGTTGTTGCGTATTTAAGTTATGAAGGAAATGTGATCACTCCAGATGTTTCCGACTTACTAGGCTAATTTGAGATATTAACTGCACATGTAATTGACCCTGGGAATGAAGCTTCGTGATGTGTGCAGCGGTCTACAGTTTCATCGGATCCTAACGCCAGAGCAGAAAGTTATAACCAGTTTATTCACGTATGGTGCCGATAGTTGTAATAAAAAACTTATAAGCTAAGGCAAAACAGTAGCATGATATTTTTTCACGGAGGCAATGCTGGTAACATTTAGGTTTCTGGCTGGAAAAGTTTGATCAGACTGTTGAGCTTTTAGTATTCTTCCGTGACAGTGCTATGGTGGGTACACAACGGAAGTAGTTTTTCAGTCACTACGACCTTGCCAAAGACAATGGATTATCCATCAGCTTCCCAGAAGCTCATCGTATAATATATCAAGCATACATAATGTGCAATGTTGTTTAGCGGGTGCGTTTACTATTGGTATATCGTATTTGAAGCATTTTGGCTGATTCCCTCTCTGATGTGAATAAGGATTGCTGAACAGTGAATTTAAACTTTCTCCAGCGAAACATCTTTGCTAAATTTCTACTCAAATGCTACTAAGTAAGACAACCCAACATTTTTCCACTTCATGTAAAACAATCTTCTTAGCAAAAAGCAGAAGTGAAGAGGTTCATTAAAACCACGGGTAGCACAATCATCGTTGAATTGGACCACAAGACCGCGGAAGTGTGTTGCATTTAGTTTTCTGATAGCTACTTTCTTCATAAAAGACTACATGACTGAGGAATCTGTTAACAGTCGCGATACGTTGCGGCCTAGAATTATTAAAGCCAACGGTTTGTTTTGTTCAGAAATTTACTACTGAAGCGGAACTGCAACACTGTAGTACTTGAACTAATTGATGAGTTTTTTTGCACTTTGCTACTCGCTTATTAAGAACCACGAACATGAAACGTTAGAAAGACGGTAAATTCGAATTATTTGATTAACAGGTTGGTTGGATCAACACATTTGATTGGGCAGTCGCTATTGGTTAGAAGCTAACTGATCAGAGAAGTTGTACGGACCTCGTCGGCGACCTTACTCCAACGACGATTCCAGAAAAGTGATTGAAATAATAATGATAATAATAATAATAATAATATATCTCTGCATGTGCAGGTACACACCGTTTTTACAGGCATGATCTATAAATTACAACATTTGTTGGTTCACAAAATGCTTCCCAACTTATTAAGTTTATAGTTGTTATAAAGTGAAATCGTAGAGCGCTTGCTGTAAACTATGACCTTGAGAGGGCGCGTACGTCAAGTTTGCTCCAAAGGTCAGAAGTTTCATGGCTGTGCTCTCAGAGCAAGATTCTGAAGAAAAAAAAGAGAAACAGAAGAGCAGCAAGGCACTTAGATATGAACACCAAAAGTTGCTTAACATTGTGTAGTAGAACGGACAGAGGTAAAATAAATTAGAATAAATTCATATTATGTCTTGTTAGAGTGAAGTGAAGTCAGAGGCTCCATATTAGAGAATGTACTAATAAAGAACAATGAGTTGTGATGTTTAACAAGTTGGGATAAGCTCACATGAAGGAAGGGAAGTCAAGGTTGGTACAAGGGAAGCGGTTTATTATAAGGGTGTGTATATAGAGGGTGAAGTGTTAAGAATACTAATGACTATATCATTTGTTATCTTTTTTTTTCTATCCGATGCCAGCCACACAATCCTAGTGTAAAAGTCCGAGTTAGCATGTTATAGGTTGTCTTAGTAGAATAGCTAATCCAGCATAATATTGGAAACATGAGTCTGAGTGGTGAGCGTAGGAAGACAATCTATATCTCAGATTGACTGTCTTATTCTCAATTATAAAGAGCCTGATACATACAAAATGTTCTGTCCTCATAAACACGGGTGGATTGAAGTTATCGCCCTCACCATCAATGCTTGCTGGTCAGTAACTCCACCCTCCCTCCTTTTGTGATGTTAGGCTCATTTAAGCTTACTTTTGGGTATATGTCATACCTCACACAATCCTCTGTTTCACAACCTGTTGGAAAGCACTATTTCTATAAGTACCATTTTACAAGCTTATCAGGCAGTTACAAGCTATGGACTGTTGACTATAGTATAAAGTATAGTTTGCCAATCAGAGTATAAGCGTTAAGAAGGGTATATTGTAGGATAGTTGTTTATTTAAGCGGGCGGAAAAAGTATAGAAGTATATGAGTTGTGGATAAGGGAACGAGTGGAGAAATAATATTAAT